CACTTCTACTATTACTGGTCCAGTTTTGAGACTGTCATCAACTCCGGTACTTCCTGCATGGGAAGCTATAGCACCAACTTCGAAATTGACGTTTTTCAATAACTTTTGAAATAGTGGAATAGGAAGTTCCTCTTTTTCATGTTATCAACACTAAATTCTGCATCTATTTCTCTATTCAACCGACCATATATCTCCACTATTACTAATGTTCATTAGGACATTCAATATAAGCAGGGAAGTAATTATTAGTTTGCCTCCTTGCACATTGCAATACCGATCAACGATGACTACCACACCAATAGTAATTAGAAAAATAAACAAGTTTTTACTAGCTCCATTCCCTAAATAATACCAAAAGTCGCTCTTGATGTCAATCTATCAGTGCATATTTACCTCATCTCTTATAGAAATTTAATTCAGACCGGCGGATCTCTTATTAATGTACCAATTTCTACAATTAAAAACCAAAGAAAAGTTTATGCGTTGTATGATGTTTATTACTTAATTACTATTATAAGATGGTTAAACAGAGAACGCAGTTGCAGTAAAAGCGTGACTAGTCACGTAATTTGAAATGACGGCAGCAATTTCACCGACTCGCAGAAACAATCAATTGCTTGGCATAATAGTATAATTTGATCGAGATTGATACCCGGAGGCGGAATACATACATATAGATACGTACAAATACGTAGACGCGTAGGAGCGAAATACATCGGGAGCTAGCGACCCCATGAATTGGTAGAGCTTTGGATGTATTGCTTCCTCCTGTTCCATCAGATATGACTGTACGACAGGCACCATCAAATAACTCCATCAATCACCGTATCTGCTGTGGCACACAATGCAAAAAGTAATGAATTACTTATCAATATCCCAGCATTTTTCACGTTTCCGACGTAACGTTGTGTGGTGACCCAAAAGGTCACTCTGTCCAAACACCGAAAGATAATAAATAAAAACCTGTATTATAAATAACGCTAAACGAACAAATCATTACTCCGGGAAACAAAAAAAAAGTTTTTTTTTGTTGCCAAGAATTCAACATCGCTTTCAGTGTTGTTACAGTTAAAATGACTACTGAAACTTTTGACACTGGATGATATTCAGGCTTGCACTCGTATAGAAATACTCAATTCAATTTGTTATTTTATAAAAATTGATATGTGCAAATAAAACACTATAACTCAAAATCTGCATACAAAACGTTTATAAAGTTCTTATTTAGTCCAGTGTCACAGAACTGCATTTGATTTTCTTGTTTAAACGTTTATAAAAAAAAAATACAACGTGTAATTATACAACATGCTACTTAAGTGAAACGGGGTTAAGGAATTGGTTTAATGGTGTTATTTGTATCGTATGCTTCGCACGGGTGCAATGCTGATAGTAAATATACTATACAATATCTTTATATACAACAATCACAGCTTTTTTGTCATTAGACAATACAAACCGGCCGGTACCGCCGCAACCGCTATGTCCCTCCATTTTAAGTCTGTAATATCTTGGAAAATATTAATTTAAATTACATGCTGTAAAGGGCCATATTGATCTATATTAAATGCAAAATGTATTTAAAAGTACTTAATTGGATAAGAATTAATGCTGTATTGCTTAAAATCGCTTCGTAAATAAGCCATTATTTCTCGTAAAAAGTAAAGGATAAAAAATGGTTATTGTGGGTTATCCCTAAGAGAT